AACTTGAACGTATAGCTTAGGTCTGCTTCTTCTAGTTGATGTCCCAAAGTCCCAAATAGACTTTGGTTTGGGTTTCTTGATACATTTTAAAATGCACTAATTGACAGGATCAATTCCTTCTGTCAGCTTGTGAGAATAATTGAGGTTCCCTGATGACACTGGTCCTAAATTCTATTATAGGAAAATGGGCTATAAAGGTGTGGAGATCCTGGTCCCTCAAGATCTAACGTGCCCCTAGTGCATCCTAAACTCCTTGCTTATGGGATGAACTGCAGCTAAAGGACAGAGCCCACAATTTGCTCTTGAGTCTTGAAGGGGAAAGGAGGCAGATACCAGTACAGGGTGTGAGCAATGCGGTTAGCAGCTCATGCAGCAAGCTCTACCACATAGCCCTTTATTTTTTAAGATAAAAAAAACGATGGGGTCATCTTCCTCTCATTAACTTTCAAGAGGGATTTTATAGAGCTATAGTTTTCCACCTTGTATCTGTACCACCACAGGCATTAGGTAAAAATGGTGGTCATCAGCCCCAGGTAAAAAGAAGCCACTGGTAGGCAAGTCTGACTTTTTTCATAGCTTGATTTGTTTCAGTGTTGAAGTTATGTTCGTGGCACTTGGTAAGCAAAGGAAAGTGTAGGCAGTTGAGGCAGTTTCTTGCAGTGTCTGAGGGAAAATGGTTTTCTGACTCAATCAATAGAGTCAAGAAATGTTAAAGATAGCATGATAGCAAAACTAACCACATGCTTCCAAAGTATTTATAGCTCCTATCAAAAGTATATCCAGTAATAGCATCTAACACATGTAAACAGTCATAAAGAGTAGAAATAAGCCTGTGTACAATGACACAGCTTAAATAGACTATTAATCCTAGAGTGAGCATGCTTCTCCCAGTTTCGCCTGTTCTTTTCTCCATGACTTCTCTGCTGTAACCATTTTTGTGTTGTTGGTGTTGATTCCCATTTTGTTGTTGTTGTTGTTATACTGTCACATTATATAGATTATCTGAGCAGCAGGTAGAGTTGTTTGCATGTTTTTAAAGCCTCCCAGTTACATTTTAATGACTGACTTTGAAAAGGGGGTATGTTATAGGAGTACTAGTTGTCCTGAATCTCAGATTTAAAAAATGAAACACATCCAAGTCAGCGGTTTACAATGTACTCTCTTCGTTGTGCAGTGTAAAATCAGATATTAAATACCACTCATTTTTCCACTGAAACAGAAAGGCAGTTAGGATGATGCTTGTCAACAGTCAATAGAACAAAACTCAGAGGGTATGTCAACACTAAAAGCAGCATGGGCTATCATTTGAAAACTGATTCTATCACTCACAGAAAGTATCTTGAGACTTAAATGAAAAAAAAAAATTGTGGTTCATAATATTTCTGGGTAGCAGATGCTTTCTCAAAAACAGATTTTACTTTTAAAAATATCAAATATAATTAACACCTTCAACATAAAATGAAGTCTTTGCTTCCAGATGCATTTCAAGGTGTTGAAATGAATCAATGCAAACCTCTATGGTTGAGAGGTCCCATTGACTTACTGATTCTGCTGCCATCTTTATGCTGAATGTCTGAAAAATTGTCAGCAAGAACTGGGCATTTAAACTTAACTATATTTGAAGTGTGCACATGATCTGTAGCTCTTCTGAATTATTCTGATATACTGATATAAATGAGTAGATTAAAAGCCAGGTACTCTGTTACTTATGATAAAAACACCTATTCAAAAGAGATGAGGTAAATCAAGGCAAGCATCTTGTACAATGGTTCTTATGCATCTTGTGTGAAGGTCTTGATAATACACAGGCTTTTGAAGACAATTAAAATTAAAAATGATATCATTTTAACATAAAATTATTTTAAAAGAATAAGGTGAATAGAATTGAATGGCAAACCAAAGGCCAAAACTTTCACAACTGTACTTAAAACAAGAAATAATGGGTATTTTTGATGACTTTAATGAAAGTGATGGAAACAGGAATAGGATTAAAGCTATTAACTTGTATTCTCAATTATCCTGAAACTGTAACAAAATATGTTGTAATTTACTTAATAACACTCCCAGTCCACCCTATCATGGGTATTAGGAAATGCATGTGTGCACACACATAGATAGCTATCTTTACAACTGTTCAGGAATTACACATTGCTAAACTTTTTATGCCTCTTTTGTAGCAGTACCAAATCTGATAGCAATAGTTTTAGGAAGGGACAAATTAAATGTAGTTTTCTTTTCAAATTTTTGAAATTAGATTCCATGTAAAAGTGACATCATATAGTGTCTATCTTTGACTTATTTCACTTAGCATAACGGCTTCAAAGTCCATCCATGTTGTCACAAATGGCAGGATTTCCTTCCTTTTAGTGACTGAGTAATGTTCCATTATATATAAATATAACACATGTAAGAGAATATGAAGCCTACACATTTGTGTATGTATCACGTTTTCTTTATCCATCTGTTCATGGGTAGACAGTCTGTTTCTGAGCACTGGCTATTATAAATAAAGATGCAATAAACATAGGGTGTATATATCTTTTCAACTTAGTGTTTTTCAGGAAAATACCCAGAAGTAGAATTACTGAATCATGTGGCAGTTCTATTTTTTAAAATCATGTTTATTGAGGTATTGTTGATTGACAGCATATATATGCTTTAGGTGTATATGTTCACACCTCTATAAATGTACGTTGTCATGTCCAATGTGGGAGGAATGCTGGGCATAGCTAAAGACAACTAAAGACAAACTTTGATCTGAGTTTACAGTTACAGAAAATAATTACACATATAGGTAATTTTCAATGTTATACTTGCCCAAATCAGGAAAATATTTAAATGTTTCAGATGTTATTATCTTAAAGGCGGTTAGTTTTTTTGCCCACCAAGTGACAAAAACATATATGGATAGTAGTTACGCTTATAATATCTTGCCCACTACAAAATGTGAACAGGTTATTTCCAGGACAGAAAATCAGAGTGAAATTGGCTGTGAGATTATAGAACTTTGAAATGTCATCTATAACGTGGCACATTTGGGACTGAAGCAATTTTACTGTCTAGTTCATCTAAATTAGAATATAAGCCCTGCCTAGGAGTACGGGTTGAGAACCCCTTAAGCACATTTATATCTTAACTTTTGCTCTCAAAAGGAGCAAATCTGTTAGATTTGAAACTCCAGTCTTGGTTGGGAAAACCCTGTATTTCCATGGTGAGAGGGCAATTTGTTCAGTGATGTCCCTGAAAGCTAGGGCTGGGAACCAGTGCTGTGATGACCTACATTATGGATCTTACATTGATTAGGGAGTAGACTCTTATACAATGATAAAGCTTGCTGTTTCTGTGTTTTACTTCCTGCTTGTAAATTCCCAGGCCTCAGTGGACTTAGAACTCCTGCTTTCTTTGATCTGCAAGACTGCCATTATCTCTAGGCTCTCTGACCTTGATCTATTTCCTGCTATCTATTTTGCTACCTCTTAAATGGGTCTGACCGGACCCCCGAGTCCTTGCCCACACTAGCTTACATGCCGGTAGACCACTTAATTCTTGCAGAAGCCAGAGACCTGGACTGGCCCTTGTCAACCCTCTTCTTCCTGACCGCTCCTCACTCTGGCAGTGTATAGAAGTTACTCATTTCAAAAGCTAGGAAAGTTACAATTTACCTGTGAGTAAACAGAAGATGGTTTATCAACAGACTTTACCTTAATGACTACAAATGTTTACCTCCTGCTTTCCAGAATGCAAAGACAATCTTGGAAATGTCATAATATCTTGCAAACATTTGCAAAACAGATCCTTGTTCATCCAGAAAGAAACAATTGTATTCGTTGTCTGTGACACAAGGAAAGTGTTCAGCGAGAAACCTACAGATAGATGTACACACTTACACGTAAATGAGATATGTTAATTAAAAACGGCACTGGGCACTTTATTAAAAATTTATTTTACAATCTAGCAGTTCAAAACATCTTTACATCAACAAATACAGCAGCTCGACTACTGGAATCATAAGTGATGTATCTATAAAGATTGTACTTGTAGCAGGAAGCAAATATTTTAGAAGAATACTTCTATCAAAATTACTGATGTTGTAAGAAGTATTTTTAACTCAGGAAAAAAATGAAGACAAATATCTCAGTGTTCATTTTATAGATGAGATGACTCCACTTAGTGAATTTTCCATGTTTGTCCGAATTACAGCTGTTTATCTTGCAACTTTCCAGAGATAAATTAAATGCAAATGTAAGTGAATCATGGGAATACCTGCCAGGCCCCTAATTAATACCTTTACTTTAAAACCCCTGTGCCAGAGAGTCATTAATTTGCTAAAAGAAAAGGGCTAGCGGGCTCTCTCTGGTGGCACAGCAGATTGGAACGCAGCACTGCAAGCTAACCTCCTCCTCCTTCAGTGCGAGTTCAATCCCTGCCCGGAAGGTGATCCACATGGCGTGGCAGACCTCTCCTGACCTGCCCGCTGCTCCCCTCAGCAGTGTACTTCATCCTTCTGACTATTCTGCTCCCCGTTCCTTCTCTGGTGAATCCTTTCACCACCCCTGAGCCTCTGGCCTGTACCCCAGTTCTGTATGAGTAAATAAATAACATTAAAAAAAAAAAAAGAACAGGGCCAGACCAGCCTTTTGCTCCACAAACTCCTCTGACATGGCTGCCCAATTAATCCAGTAGCATCCTGAGCTTCCTTCCTTTCAGCTCCTGTAACCCTCGGAGGACACAAAAAGGCTCCAATGATAACCTGGCAACCTAGGTAGAAACCCAGCCAAGTGAGAGCGTTTGAAGCTGCAGTTTGGCTGCCATCGTGTCGGAGAAAAGAAAGAATTCAGGCACCATGTCATCCAGTACAAAGGATAAAAACGGATTCAACCGGAAATTCAATGTGGCACCACATATGGGATACATGAGTGCGGTTATACAACAGGCCACATATTTTTTTTGAACAGTCTCCTCCATGTGATGCCGAGGACATGTGTAACCATCATAACGTCTCTAGGAATCTGTATTTAATTTGAGTTGGGGTGGTGGCAGGGATTGGAGATCTGAAGCCGCCACAGGTTTGTGGCAGATGGCTCTGTGTCAGCTATGACAAGCAGCCAGGCTCAGCTTCCTCTGCAGATTTTCTTTTCTCTCTGATCAGGTAAATATGGGCACACTCTGGAAAGTTCTACAGATTCTGCCTTAGGCTGCAAGTTTGTGACTTAGCCCCATCTGTCACAAATCTTCCTTAGGTTCTGTTGTAAGCAGAGACCTGAATTTACCATGTAGGGCTGCCCAGGAAAAAGGAGTTATTGCACCCTGTAAGGGGGAGGGGGAAAAAGAGAGAAAGCAATGGAGAAGCATTAATGAATGAAAGACTAAAGTATGCAGAAATTTCATTTTGCAAATTTACATGACTTTCATCAATTAGATTTCACAAAGTCACCAACTAAATAGTCCCAAGTTTCACCACCTCAGGAAATCCCAGTTGTTGATTGGTTTAAGTGTAACTATGTCCAACTTTAAGGGAACATTCCTTATCTTTTGCAAATGGGTATATTCTACTGCACACATATTTCCTGGTTTATGTTATGGGTGACAGCTATTAGACGTTTATCATCCAACTTTTAACTTTTATAAACACAAGATACACAGCACTCTTAAAATATGTTTTTGCTAATGTGAATTTTACTTTTAAGTGGTGAAGACACAAGAGAAATGCCATTACTATTACGTGGAGTTTATAAAGCACTTCAAGTTTACAAACGGATTTATATTCATTATTTCATTATATCAGTACCTCAGAGGGAAATGCTATTGAGAATTAACAACAACAAAAATTCTTCCAAGTTTACAGATAAATCATATAGAGGCCAAGGAGTTCACTCAGAGCCAGGCTGCAAATTAGTAGCAGAGAAGAGCAAAAAGCCAAAACTTCTCACTGATCTGAATCACCCAAAGTGTACCTATTGTGCAAAGAAATTTTTGTTTTATTTTACTCGACAAATCAAAGGAATATCAAGCCAGTACATTTGAGGATAGAAGTGCAGGCAGGGGAAGGAAAGAATAGTGAGAAGGGAGGGAAGGAAGGGGAGCTTGTGGGGTGGAGGGCAAAAAAGAAAGAGTAAGAGAATCAAAGTTCTAAAAGTGTCACAGTTTCTAGGTTTTCATTTCTTTAAGGTAAAAGTTATAAGTTTGGGAGAGTGTTAATACTTGAGAGCAACACCTTTTCATATCTAAAGTATAAGCTCAAATTAAAAGGGGACTATAAAGTGACCGGTCTCTTGAAGGAAATTCAAAGTGGCTTAGCTGTGGTTGGGGTAGATATAGCCTGACATCATTAAGACAACCACAAATGGCTTTTCTGGGCACTAAGTCTGAATTGTGAGCTTAATCATTGCTTGGAATCACTTTTAGGCAGAAATCTGAAAATTCTTCTCTTCTCCAAATAACAGCAGGTTATAAAGGTTTCTGGAATGTTGAAGAACTTGAAGAGGAGAACAAAATAAAAATCAGCAGCTATCATCTCAAAAATCTTAGGAAACTACAGGTCACTCTAAAGTAGTAGCAAGAATTACATCTCTTTTTTTTCACACAGAATATTGCTCAATTTGTATATAAAAGTACGTGAGAAATATACGGGAATTAAAATCTTTTCTGTTTATCTGGGTAGTAGTATCTCATACAACGGCCCCATTTTGTGTTTTTATGCTATTTTCAATACTGACAACAAATGAATGTCCTTAAGCTTTTTTTCCTAAAGCATTTTAAAACATAACGATCCAAAGTTTTCTAAAAGTGCTAAGTACTGACATCAAATCATTGTTGGGGATTTTCAGTAAGTATATTCACATTGTGAAAGGCAAAAATATAGAACTTCACAGTATCAGACTTGCTTATGCTGAAAAAGGACAACTGTAATAAATTAATCCTTGTGTAGTTGTTTTATGATTACTTCTAGAATCTTGTGTTCAAGTTAGGTTTGGGAATCAAAAAGAGCTGCTTACTGTGGATAAAGTGAAACCTTGTCTATGTGACAAGGAAGTGACCAATGTGTTTAAGCGACTAAGAAAAAGAACTTTCCTGAAAGCATAAAGAAGCTATAGCAAATGACTAAACCTTCATGTAAATCTTTTAAAAGAATGGTTTTAGATTTTTAAACTAAAGAAATAGCTAATGATTTTTTTAAGAATTAAAAACATTTAATTTCTGCATGCACTGAACTTCTCTAAGAGCTTAAGTGAGAAAGAGAGTGTATGAGTGAGACAGAGAACACATCTTGCATGAACACAGGGAGCTTAAAACATTTCAAGTCTGAAACCATTTCAGGTGGGAATTCATGGACACAGTGTTTTGTAGTAGAAAGAGTCACTTTAAGAAAAAAAATATAGAATTCTGTTTCTGCTTTTCAGTTATAGCATTCTGTTTCAAATCCTGCTTCAAGTTATAGCCCCAAACTCTCACTCATATTGAAAGTATAATGTCTCATGTGAGAAGAAAGCCAAGTGTTAGTAGCCTTATTCTAGTCATTAAATTTCTAAGTGTGAATCCATATGAAAAATCGTATCCTAAAGTGAACTCTATATGTTAAGCAGTTGAGATGATTTTAAAATGTAAACTTTTAACAAAAAAAGGGATAAGGTGTAAGAATATAAAAGGAGCAAATTAAAAGATTCTGTGACATTCTATCCTTTTAGATCTCAGAAGCATATGTTTTATAAAAGCAAGATAGTACTGTCCAATGAAATAACTCTAAAATAAACCCCAACATTTTCTTTAGAGCACATACAAAAGACTCTTCATTGCATAAGCAAAGTGGATAAAAAGCTGCTGCAGAGGAAATAATTCTCTGGCATTTAGTAAAGGCACATGCTACCTGAAAATGTGTGTATTTATAAAACATGAGGCAAAGAAATACCATAACTTGGAAGATCTCAATTATGAAGTTTTTGAAAGCATTCCTTTTCCATGTTGGCTCCAAGTCCTATTAGAGTTTTTCCTGATAATTGTATCATAAAACTCTTGATTATTTATAATTCTTGGACTATTTTATTAATTTTTGAGATTAACTTTTAGACACAACATTATTAAGGATAAACATAAATAAATTCTATAGATATATATGAAAAATTCCATGTTTAGAAAACATATAAAAGTGAATTACACAGATAAATTTTTAAATGCTTATGTATAAAAACTAATTTATAAAGCTTTGAGATGGAGCAATTTAGGATGTACAGACAAAAACTTATATATATTAATATGAAATAACATTTAAGGTTCTGTTTTAAGTTGCATGAGGAACAAGTTGGCATACTGACAGCATACTACTAAAATGGCTTTTTTTCAGAATTTTTCCAGAAGTTATTTATAAAATAAATAATTACAGCTATGTTATGCAATAAATAATTGTATTAAAAGAATTCAACTGGATATCTGTTTTCCTTTGGAGCTAAAGACAACTTGTAGTAATTTTGAAATGGTTAAAAATTTGCAGATTGAAAATAAGGATAAGGCCTCAAGCAAAGTTAAACTTGAAGCAAAGTTAAACATGAACAAATCTTTAAAAAATGTTTTTAAACTGATATATGTTATTAATGAAGTACCATTGTTTTACATCCTTATTAATTTTCCACAATATAAAATTATTCCCCTCTGGTGTTCTCCCACCACTAAATCACCCACAATCCTTCACCATGATCCCCAAATAGACAAGTCCTGATGCGGTGGAAATACAATTATTAAATATTTCACTATTCTCGTCACAATGAAAAAGCCATTCTTTTTTGTATATTTATATGAAGTGATGGGTAGTAATAAAACTTTTGATGGCAGGCATTTCGCAATATGTGAAAGTAATTATGCTGTATACCTTAAGCTATATTCAGATACAAATGCTGTATGTCAATTCTATCTCAATAAAACTGTGAATGAAGAAATACTTTATCAAAAATCACCTGAAGGAAAAAAAAAAAGATAAACTTGATGATGAATTCATTGAAAATAGCTTTGTGTCGTATGTAGAACATGAATCCATTAATATTGGTATTTATTATTCTACTTCTTCAGTTATTATCTGTTCACTTTGAATGGTGATTCTGTGCGAAGCTACTTGATTACTATTTTGCACAAGCAGACCACTACTCCACTTTAAAAATTAGGAAATATGGAGGTAACCCTTGGAGGGTTGTTTTCCCTGAGAAGCTTCCCATTTGTACCGTATTGACTCAAGGAGTAATACTGAAGCCTGGAACTGTTCAGTCAGCATTTTAAACTATTATGAGCTACCTTCTGAACCATTGCCAAGTTAATAGACAATGAAAGATAATGAGCTTGAAATTGGGTGTTAAATTGCATTTTTGGTTCTCTCTCTTTTTTTTTTTTCTTGAAGTTTAACTGTTTCCTGCAGAAACAAAGTCATGTCTTGATGTATCACTATGTAAATATGTATGTATGGCTATGAAAAGCCCAAGAAGAGAAAAAGGGCAAAGAACTGTATTTATGTAGGAAGGTTATATATTCACATAGGAAAATTAAAATATGCTGGATTATAAAACTCTTAGATTGTAAACTATACTGAATTTATGTAAAATGAAGATGCTACATTCAAAGAATATAAAAAGGTATATTATTCATGGCCTAGAGTCACCTCCAAAACCCATAAAGTAGATTTATCCTTCTTCAATTACTTAGACTTTTAGTAGAGCCTCTTTGTGTTGTTATTTGCACGATGTAAATTTTTTTATTCAAATGAGGAAAAAACGATAATGAATGACGGAGCTGAGTGATGATGCTATTTTAAACAATTTTCCTTTTCCCTTTGCCAGTCACAGAGGAGACTGACAGTCTATGCTAAACAAACTCTGGGTTTTTATGTCATTTCATTAAACTGGACAAAGGAAATATTTGACTCACCCAAAAATCATCTTTAAAGTAGTTAAAAAATAAACACCAAACTTCACTAATGTCAGTCACCTGAATTTTTGAAGATTTCATTATGATGGGAAGAAAGGCTTATCCTCATTAGTATAATTGTAGAATCTTTCTTTTACTTCCTTTTAAACTAATGAGTTACATTAATCCAGGTTCATTTTTATAAGCCTCTTGGGGCTAAATGTAAAGGACAGTCATCTTAGAAAACAATAAATTAAAAAAAAAAAGCATGTACCGTGTATTAAGTGCACGTATTTCATAAGACCTAGGTTAATACAACTGGCCTCTAGTTTAATTAATCCTTGTTAGTGTAACAACTAATATCCCTCCCTAGCATGTTTCCTTTAAACATTAGTATGTTAATTAAATGTTTTTTTTAAAAAGATTTTTCTTTGTACTTCAATGTGGCATTTATACTACGTAAATCTCTTCTCAATAACTACCTTATAGAGATGTTTTCTTATAATATCTGGTCTCTTGCAGAAATTCTGGAGCCTTTTTGAAAGCTGTTCAGGTGTAGAATACAGATATTCAGCTGCAGGAAAAACAGATACATTTTTAATGAAACAAAAACCTCAAAGCACACACTCGATATTAGTCACTTTACTAATTAAAAATGCATATTGCTCTGTGCCGCCTCGTGTTTTACATTATTTAAGCATGATTTTATAAGGTTACCTCAGCTCACAAGGATGTTTAATGCTAAATAAGACTGTGTAGTTGTGCTGTTTAGACATCTCCTTTGGGTGATTAAAATACATTATTCTAATGTAACACAATGCATATGTGATATATTTAGTGATGAGCATTTTTTCAAAGAACTGGTACTATAGCCGTATGTACCCTGTACAACAGTTGCATATTATTAACTAGTCAATTGTTTAAACAATTTGGTGTGACTTTCAGTTCTCGATTTTTCTCTGTGTATATCATTAAAAAAGAATCTGTAAGCAATTGCAGCAACACTGACCTGCTTATAAAAATCTATCATTATGGGATGTGTATGCTAACAATGAAGAATGCTATTTGGAAACTTGCTTTTTTGTTATCTTAAAAGAACAGATGGTAAATATAAGCTTGCTCTAATGTATTAAAACACATAAAATTTTCCTTAACACTAACATGTTGACTTGCCAAATAAACAATTGCTCCTGCCTAAGTTTATTTTCAAACTTTCTAATTTAGCATGAATCATGTATTAAATCTCAACAAAGATGAAAGTACAGTAAAGCAGCTACCTGGAAATATTTCAGGATAAACCAAATCTTTGGGACAAAGTGGGTAACAACCACAATACACAGCTTCCAACCTAGAGAAAGTTTAGAAAGAGAATAAAAATGCATTAAAAAGATATTACTATCATAGCCAGAAAGTGGTTTTGTTTGCCTAAGTTCGCAGTATGAGTCCAGAGTTAACTGGGACAAGAAACATGGTCGGCAATTCAAACCTAAAAGCCAAAGTTGCTCTTTTAAAAGATTTTATTGATCATATATGAATTTCATAGAACAGAACCAACAGCATATGTTTTGTTCACTGAATTAATCAAAGCGTAGCTCTGCATTTTTTTTTTGTTTTTAAAATACTGTTTAACACATTTTAAAATCAGCAGATAAACACATGTAACAACATGGGAAAGTATGGCCAGCTTTTCTTAATAATGCAGCAAAGCCCCAGAATGTTCATTTTTCAAAAATATTTTAAATAAAATAGCAAATACTTAACTTTAAGACTATAGCCATAGAAATGACTGAGACACTTTTAAAAGCAAGAGAAAAAATTTTCAATCTGTTGTGATAGGGCATTTTCATTTTCAGCTCATGCTTCAAAATAATTTGCTATTATGCAAAATGCAGAAATAATCCCCCTTTATACTGAAGACCTCTAATAAAGATTATCTTAATGAACATTTTGCTTTCTTAACTAAAAATTCAGCTCATTTTCCATTTTTCTAGAAAAGAGTACTTTATTAGGAAACAAACCAAAAACGAAGTTTCACTTTGTGAGAGGCTTTCCCCAAGGACCACCTATAGGATGTTTTTCTTCATGTCACAGTAGTGAAGGGTTAAGCAGAGGGAAGGTATTGCATCTGGATGACTGTTAGCAGTGCATAATGGCTATTGATCTAACATATAATAAGAACCTTAAAGATACCACTGTAATTTCTTTTGGCTAGGATTGATGCGGTGAAATTCAAAATACTCTTTAAAATGTTTATTTTATGAGAAACTTTGAATTGCATCCAAAATGTTGACCAAAGGCACAATTTTATTTTGAACAGCAGATTTTTTTTCAACCTAAGAATAAATTGAAGTTATGTCAATGTTTACCTTGTTTATTTACAGTGACAAAGTACATGCAATTTAAGCTGTTTTAAGTGGATGATTTTTTAAATTTTATTTTATTATGTATCTGAAATTAGTTTAAAGGAAAAGTATTTTGAGCTGCAAAGTTGGGAAAGATTTTGAGTTCAAAGTTTTGTTTTATAACTGACTGATGAAAGTTTTGAGATAAGACAGTACAGATTCACAGGATCTAATTACCCACTATTAATTCAAACCCCCCACTAATATTTAATGTTTTTCTTCTCTGCATAAATAAGGTATACATAGATATTCTTATCGTAAGCAAAGCTATAAAGCTACAACGTGACTTTATTATAAAACATTTACAAAAGTTTTGAGCACACAAACCAGTGATATTCTTTAAGAACCAAAAGAAAATATGCACTTTATCTGAAGACACTTTTAAAATGTTGTGCCAATCGAAAAGCAAATACATATGAACATTCTCTTATAATTACATAAAATCAAAAGAAGTGAAGTCACAGACATTTCAGAAAGTGCACATGTTATCTGCTTTTTAATAATGGATTTGAATTAGAGTGTTCTGTTCCCCGAAAGAAAATTCCAGGCCAAGTTACATTTTGAGTCATCGTATGAGCATGCATCATGCCATTTGCAAAAAAAAAACCTCTGCTAATTAAAAGACAGCGATTAGGGATGACACTGTCTGATTTAGAAGGAAAAAGATTTACAAATTTTGGGATTCAAATTTATTTGTATATTCTCTTACTTAGAACTATATTTCTAATTCATTAAGCAAAAGCCTACCACTCTTGGTTATAATTTTGACTTCTTAAAGTGCTAAACTTTATCACATACATCATTTAGGTCAGGACTGTGATGTAAAACATACTAGATAGGTCATAATAATTTTAAAAAAATTATAAATTTTATTCTCATTAAGTTTCTCGTATTTTGTTATTATAAAGAAAATAATCATCTCCTGAAAATAATACGATTATTCATCATTTCAATTCTTAGGCACTATCAGTTAAATAATAAATAGGGTTCCAATTGATCTATTGTTA